CCTGGGGCATCAAGCAAAATGGGGGCCCTCCTACCTGACCCACGAGCCATGTAAACCATTTACAACTGCCGCACAGTCACACCTGACACCCAAGTGCTCTTATTTATTTAGGCTGATACTGTTTATACTATTGCTTGGCTGAATACTTGGTGGGGGTTATTTACTGAGAGATGTGCATCCATATTGCCCAGTATACTCAGCTAATCAACATTTTATATTCAATATTTAATCAATAGTCAGTGTCCGTCCATTGCTTTCCATTTCGCATTAGTCCAGAGTTGTAGCAAAACCTTGACTGAGAGACCAGATAATCACTGTCTTATTTTAAAATGATGCGCCTCTATGAGGAGTGAGCCATCATGCCCATATAGTGTCTGGACTGGTTTGGTCTCCACAGAGGCTGCTACTTCAAAGCATGAGTTTCATTTCATGCACACACATATGAACACAAATTAACATGCCGCGGTTTTCTTTTCTGAGCTGCAGTCTGTAAACAGTGTTGCCTGTTCATCAAATGTAATGAATAAACACAGTCCTGGACATTTATTTGCTAAACAATGCTGTTATTTGGTGACATCAAACTTGGAGAGGAGAGAACACAAGTTTACTTGATTGCTATTCCTGCACTTCACTCATGGTGTTTTACTTTCTTTTATTGTGACCAGATAGATAGTTGTGCCTCATCCTCTCATCGTAGTTGTAAATAATAAGCAGCTGTGACACAAGGGGGAAGCGGGGCTCTTGTGTAATTTGTGGGGCCCAACGCAAGGTGTGTCGTGAGGGTATAGGGCCGACCGGCTCTGATTATGTTACTTATTATTTAATAAAATAACTCTCTACTAATGAGTTTACTTCTTTGCTACTCTGTACCGAAAGATCTCACTATATCGGTGATGGTTTTGCTTGTTTCAAGCATTATTTCTTAAAACAAGCAACATTTTCTGCCAGTATAGTGAGATAATTTTACTTATTAAAATTACTTAAATATGTCTAGAAATAAGTTAAATAATCTCATAATAATAGTCTTACAACAATCTCAAAATGAGAAATATTAGATATATTGGCCAGATGTAAGATGATTTCACTTGCTAAGATGCTAATAATATACATCCAGGGGCCCCATTTCAGTCTTTTGACTAGAGCTTCAGAATCACAAAATCAGCCATGGACCCATCCTCTGTTAACAGTTTCTTAAAAATATTTTAGTGTTTGTTTGTATTTCTTGCCATTTGTACACTCAGTAGTTGCTGTATTAGTTCTATCTGCTGGGTCTACTTTTAATTTGCTTTCAGAACAGCCTGAATTCTTTGTGATATGGATTCAGCAAATGACTAGAAACGTTCTTTTTGGTTCGTGCTGTCCTGATAGCATCGCTCTGCTTCCTCACATCTTTTGGCCCACATTCGTTCTGTGAACCTTCTGTTCCACCTCCTTCCAAAAGTATTCTGTTGTGCTGAGATCTGGACACTGTGCAGAAGAAAACTGACAAACAGAAGTCACTTTCATATCCGTGGAACCAATTTGAGATGGTACGTGCCTTGGGGCAAAACATACTGTCCCGCTGGAAGTGTTAAAAATGGAAAGACTGCTCATACAAGAATCCACATGGTCTGCCTCGAGAGGCCTAAAGTGTACAAAGAAAACATTCTCCACACCCTTCCACCACCACCACCATGCTGTTTACATTGAATTATAACCTTCCTATCTGCATGTTGGTGCAGACACAGAAATTCATTAGACCTGCTGAAACATTTCTAACCTTAAGTACAGCTGCTGCTTGAGCATCTGTGACATCTGAACAAGTCAAGCTGCTCACATTTGACCCCTTTCATTAACAAGGTGCCATCATTTACAGAACTGATGTCCACTGGATATTCTTGATTACTGCAGCAAGGAAATCCCAGAGGGCAGCTGTATGATTAATTGTCTGCATTTACTTTTGTTTATTTGCATTAAAACATATCATGAATAACCTGAAATTAAACCTCAAATGTATAAACCTAATTTTAGATTTTCTGATCATTGTCTTTCATCTGCATAAAGTTAATAAGAATTCATTGTGTCATTTAGGAAATACTGCTGAAGTCTGGCCTTTTCTTCCTCAGAGCGATGCAGAAAATCGTGTACATGCATTTTTTACAAGGAAAATGAATTACTGTAATGCTGTTTTTAGTGAGCTGCCCAAGAAAACAAAACAGAGAGCAAACATCTGTTTTTGAAAGAGAGGCATAGGTTACATGTGTCGTTTGGATGGATTTTAACGTTTTTCTTATTTTCTTTTACTTGTTTGTGAAGCTCTAAGTGGCCCAGCCCCTGCGCGCCTGTGTATTATGTTTCTAAACCCTAGAACTCAGCACCTTTTTTCAATTGGGCATCAAGTTCAATTTACACGTTTAAGAAAAAATATTTTATTTAGCTTTTATTTACAGTAAGTTAAATATGTGAAATGTTTTATGTTTTATCATCTGATACGCTAAATGTTTTAAAATTTTATTCTGCTTTCTTTTAATTATATGTTTTTTATCTTATCTTTTATTTTATTAATTTTATTTTTACTAACCTTTTTTCTTATGTGTGTGAAGCAGCCTTCTGTTACTGTGGACCAAAGATTTGAAACTGTTCAGCTACTATATTAGCACTTGTGAGGCATCTATACCGACCTGACCTTAATCCTATAGAAATGTTGTGGAAAGACCTGAAGCAAGCAGTTTATGGGAGGAAAGCCACCAACATTACAGAGTTGATGCTGTTTTGTCTGGAGGAATGGGCTAAAATTCCACCATGCAGATGTTCATGACTAATCAACAGTTACCGAAAATGCACAAGTGGGTCACACCAGACACTGAAAGCAAAGGTTCACATACTTTTGCCACTCACAGAGATGTAATATTGGATCATTTCCTCAATAAATAAATGACCAAGTACAACATTTTTGTTCCATTTGTTTAATTTGGTTCTTTTTATCTACTATTAGGACTAAAAATCTGATGAAGTTTTAGGTCAAATTTAGGCAGTTATTTCTACACACACACACACACACACACACACACACGTATATATCTATATTGCTGTTGTCGGAAAAAAAACCCTTGTATCTCCATATTTGACGTTTTTCAGTTTTTGACGTAATTTGAAAAAAACCTGTGGTCATACTGTGTGTAAATTTCATGAAGAATGGACCAACAGAAATGACCCGAAATTACCTGGAAAATATATATACATGTCAGGGGTGGGAATCTCTTGGCACCTCACGATTAGATTCGATTACGATTCAGAGGGCTGCGATGCGATTATAAAACGATTATCGATGCATCTCAATGCATCTTTTTTTTTATATAGCATTTATATTTTCTCACTGTGTGAGCTCAAGTTTCGAGTTCAAGTTTCAAGTTTATTTGTCATTTGCACAACATGTCAGGACATTTATGCATTGAAATGCTTGTGGTGAGGCTCAGCTAATCACTCTACAGAAAGTAAATAAGTAAAAATAAAAATAAAAATACAAGAAAAACCCACTGAAATATATTAAATATACACAGAATATAGAGACAATAAACATTTTAAAGTGACTAAGTGACTAAGTGTTATTGTTATTTAAAGTGACTTGGTACTTTTAAAGCAAAGTATTTGTAATGATCCATAATAAATTTACTTCCAATATCTTTTTTAATAAAACAAATGGAAGTGATGTGGCAAGTGAACTAGAAGGCTCTCATTCAGTGCTCTTGTTTGGAGCACAAGAAGCTGCTTAAAATGCGATAAAATGCGCAGTTACGGTGAAATAAGATCCAGTGGTGATGAATGTCCACACAGCACGTTACAGCTATTCTACCCATTTTCTTTAGTGATTTTATAACTTCGGTTTTGGTCTCATTGTAGAGACGGTGGGGATCGCTGTGTCAGTAAAATATCTACGGGTCGTGTGCAACATAGCGCGAAAGCCCTGTTTCGCAATGACTGAGAACCGGCGTGCAGACTGCAGGTCACATAGCAATGATGCGTTATTCGCTTTTATAAGCAGCGCAGTTGGTTTCCTGGTACGTAAATCTGCAACGAGAGACTGTCAAACACTAAAAAGTGGCGGAACTGAAGTCGCTTCTCTTTCGAATTCTCTTCTTATCATTTGGGTTGTGACTCCTGATCTAACCTGGCTTTAATGCAGAGGGAGCCGGTCAGATTTCTCACTCATCCAGTTGTGTTTTTGTTGTGTGCCGTCACAGACTGTCCGGGCGCTGCACTTACCCACTTCCAAGTTCCGCCTTTTGTGTTCCGTCAACGTTACGTTATAAATTAAATATTTAGAAAATCGAGTTTTGACATTTGTGAATCGATTCAGAATCGCTCACGTCCACATCGCGATGCATCTAAGAATCGTTTTTTTCCCGCACCCCGAATATATATATATATATATGTATATATATATATTTTTGCATACATATATCTATATACATCCACATATATATATATATATATATATATATATATATATATATATATATATATATATATGGATGTGTATGGAAATCTGTTCATGTATTCTGTTCCTTTTGTACTTATTTAAGTCTTATTTCATTTTTTATTTTACCTTTCATTTATACTCATTTGTTTCTAATTTAACACTTTCTTGACTTCTCTACTCCTTATGCCTTCTATTGTCAACAACAGCAATAATAATCATAATAATAATAACAACAACATTAATATAATAATAATAATAATAATAATAATAATAATAATAATAATAGCGGCTGAATGTGGGCATTTTATTTTAATATAATTATAACTACATTATATTTTATTTATTTCTCCTACAAAGCTTTTAATTTTAGGTTTATAGTAATAAACCTGTACAGCACTTTTTGAGCTCCATGTTGTGCACATGATAATAGTGATTAATAACTAATAATAACTAATAATATCTGGTGAATCTAATTGATCACTTTTAACAGCGTAACAGCTCCCTTTAAAAGCGGGCGCACGTTAATGATGTCACTCCATGGCGCCGCAGTGCTCTGTTCTCAGTTGTCTGAGCTGGTGAACTGTAAGTCTCACACTCAGACCTTTAACCGCCCACCGTCCTAAAGGGGTGTCTCTCTGTCTCACTCTCTCTCTCTCTCTCTCTCTCTGTCTCTCTCTGTGTATTCGGTCGTCTGAGGGAAGGTTCTGCCCCTGTCGCCCTCGCCATGACAGAGGACGATGATCTGATGCCAGCTTTGAGTTCTGATCAGACGCGCAGCGATAGCGGTGGGCTGGCTCCTCCTGAGGGGCTGTGCTGGGGGTCGGTGCTTTCCTGCCTACTGCTCGCCTGTTCATACGTTGGAAGTTTGTACATCTGGAAAAGTGACTTGCCGAGGTATCGTTTCTCTGATCATCACAGGCTCTAAATCATAAACCCCCCGGAAACCACAGCTGTACTAGGTTAGCTAGCACAGCTCTGAAAGGGTGTTTAACAGTCAATTCAGTAAACTCGATAAGACCAATAGGAATGTCTGTTACCTCTTCTGTCATTGGACAGGTTTGACTTAAAAGATTATTGCACTTAAAAGAGCAATTCCACCGATTTTTCAAAATTCTTTAGAAGTAAATAGTTCAGATGTAAACAAAGTCATCCAGAGTGGTTTGATGTGAAATGCTTTATTCTTGAGAATCTGTTCACAGCGGTGGTGATAAGAGCCAGGCGTCTAGTGCATTTCAGTGCCTCTAGAGCCTCTAAAGCAGTGGTCACCAACCCTCCTCCTGGAGATGTGCTTTCCTGCAGAGTTTGGTTCCACCCTGCATCTAACATGCCCTCCACAACACAAATGCGTCTGATCCAGGGTTGGTGACCACTGCTCTAAAAGCTTCCTCACAGAAAGCTGTTACATGATATGCTCACAAATGTAGGTCACAAATACACGGCCTGATGCCCGAGACAACTTGTGAGAAGTAAGGCAAAAAAGTACCCAAGGAAAACATGTTTTAAACACTTATCAGTCTCAAAATATTGTCAGAACAAAAAGGTATCTTTGCAGGAGAAGGAAAAACATCCTTAACTTTCAGATAGAAGATAATGGAACAAGATTTTAGTCAATCATTTCTATCAGTCCATTGGTCATGAAATTTCACACAATTTAAAGAGCGTATGAATGAATAGCGAGAAAAAATGGAGATACAATGTTTTACAAACTCAGAAGATGCATGTAGGTTCACTAACCATTTTGGATTAAATAGCACACTAACCATTCACAGAATGAACATCCTGGTTTTGTTAAACCAGTAGTTAATAGCTTTTCGTAAATAGGAATGCAGAAGATGGTCAGTCCACTGGTTACTACATAGAATGTGTATATTGTGACCTTCTGCCTTTAGCTGCCACAGCCTGTCACACGTAAATAGCCTAGGACTGAATTACCATGTAGTAGCCTTGAATTCCAGGTGACACTGTTGTGAAAGTATCGCCTTGAATTCAAGGTGTGACTTTTACATAGTTTGCCAATGAAAATGCGAAAACCAGTGAGGTGCAACAAAGAGCCAAGTCGCCTCTGTTAATGATGACTTTTTCCACAGTTTTGGCATAGTAGTGATGTAGCTTACAGTTCACTCGTCTGACTAACAGTTCTCATGATTCTTTTGTTCACAGTTAAACAGTTTTAGTTTCAAATGCTGTGGCTCTGTCTCACTTGAAATTGCTGGTTCTGACTGTTAGCTTTGTTCTTTTTGGCTGTAGTCATGACTAAATATCAGTAGGTAAATTAATTTGCAGGTCTGATCAGACAAAAAAGCCTTTTTAGCTGAGTTTGTTGGCACAGTGTGGTGCAGCACACTGTAAGTTCACATTGCTGCCACCACTGTCAGGTGGAAAGAAAAACTGCAACGTATTGGTTGGTGGGCCACCTATAATGCATTCTGAGACAGAAGCCACAGGCCAATTAAAATCTGTCCAAGGGCCTTAGACACCCTTGATACAGGCTATAACTACAGGTTATCTACTACAGGTTTTGCTAGGTGAAGTCCTAGCAAATGTTTTTTTTTTTTTGAGGTGTGATTTATGTTGACTAAATTGTGTATCTTTGTGTCAAGGGACCATCCTTCAGTGATAAAGAGGCGCTTCACTAGTGTGCTGGTTGTGTCAGCTCTGTCGCCAGTCTTTGTGTGGGCATGGAAAGAAGTCACAGGCATTCAGGTGAGATCTCACTGATATACTTTGACTCGTAGTTCCTGTTGAACAGACACTGCTCAATGAGCTTCTGCACCTGTAACACTTCAGAACTTTCACAAAGTGCTTGCTCCATTCAATCTTAGCCTGATGAGTAATAAAGACTGGCTCATTGTGTATGTTGTGTAACACAGTGTATGTTACACTAAAGCTTCTACAGGTTCACTCAGTGTGCCGTTTTCATGCATCTGTTGATCTTCAAAAGGGAGATGTTGACAGACATGTCAGACTACCCTTAATTCTTGTGCTTCAGGTGTGGTTTGTCTGAAGTACTAATGTAAAACTGGCTATAGACACATATATGAACAGTCATATTGTCTATGCGTACCTTCTCTGGTACCTGCATTTTTTCGCCTGTCTTGTGCGTTAGTATAGCGCTGCTATCAGAAGAAAACCTTGTATCTCCATTTTTCCATTTTTCAGTTTTTGACATAAGTTGAAAATGCCTGTGGCCCTTTACATTGTGTGTGAATTTCATAAAGAATGGACCAAAAGAAACAGCCCAAAATGACTTGGAAAAATTTCTGGTTTCATTGACATACATTAAAAGTAAAGTAGGTTTTTACCTTTTTCTGTAAAGTTATCATTTTGGAGAGGTTTTCTTCTGACAGCAGCGATAGTTTTGTTTTTAAAATGTGGTAGAGGCATGTTCAGAGTCATTGTAAAGTACTCCGACATATGGTCACGGAAAAAACAGCTATGTTATGTATTAATGCACCAAGTTTCAGCCCTTTTATAAAAGCAATAATTCACTTGATGCTTGTCGCTTATCACTTTAGAGTATCACAAGATATAGTTGGGCCAGAGTGCAGTATGGTTCAGGAAGTTCAGAAAATATTCTCACTTATGCTTATCATAAAATCTGTAGTCAGTCAGTTTTTGCTTGCATGACTTTTGTTTACATCTTTTTATTCTATGCCAAACATGACCGTTTCAATATCATGCAAACTGAAACTGAAATACAGCAGTGTATCCTCTCCTGATTGGTCAGGATGAAGGGAATTGTACTGTAGGTCTAAGAGCACCCCTAATAGCCTGTTTTAGGCTCCTAATCTCACTCTGTTTTCTACTACAGACAGGTCCCTCTTTACTAGCTCTAATGGGAATCCGATTCGAGGGCCTTGTTCCTGCAATCATCCTGCCCCTGCTACTCACCATGGTAGGAAAACTTAATCCTTCAGGATAATTAATTGACAACATGAGTACTTTCTTGATCCCCAAAGCATTGTAATGCTGTAATATTGTAAAATAGCTTGTATGTTTCAGTGTAAGCTTGGCAGATTTTCAAAAGTTTTTGTCTTAGGCATGTAATCGCTAACTAATCTGAAAGTTTTCCATCTCCACCTTCGTCTTCAACTTCTCATAATCACTGACGTCTGTGCTGTGAACAATGTTGTACTGCATTTCTGACATAGTGGTCATACTGCATATGATGGGATGCAGCAATACACTGTCATAGTGCCTTAGTAGTAGTAATACTTTATATGTATAATAACAAAAACAAATGAATTTCTTTGAACCTCTGTGAAACTGACAGTGTTCCAGTCATGTGAAGAGTTTGCTTTGCTGTCTCAGGTACTATTTCTGGGCCCTCTTATCCAGCTAGCTATGGACTGTCCCTGGGGCTTCATAGATGGAATCAAAGTGGCTGTCGGTGAGGAACTTGAATCTTTCATTACTTACAAAGTGTTTGTGAATGTCTTCATTTCAAGTTTTATCAGCCATGCTCTTAGACACCTTTCACAGGGTTGGAGTGGCATGAGATGTTTTGCTAAAAAGAGACAGATTTGATTTATTTACTGCTGTGTGAGGACAGAAATTCAGATTTCTTTTTTCCGGAATTGGTGTGAACATCTTTCTTATGTGGTTGTAGATCAGATATGTGGCCATGTCACCATTATTAGAAGTTTTTTTTACATCAGTGGAGGGCGATTATGGCAAAAATATATCACAATACTTCGACATTTTCACAGTACATGATATTCTGACACACAGATGCAAGGCACTGCAGTTAAAAACATCCACCAAAAACTAAATACAGTGAATTGTAGTCAGTGTTTCACACACTGCACTGCACTTAATCCAGTTACACAGGGCTAATGATACTTTCTCTGCAATGAAACATGCAGTTAGTCGGCATTCTTTGAGTACTGACTATATTCACAGTATCCTCAGAAAAGCGTATCATTTATCAAGAAAAAATGCATCATGATAAAAATTAAATATCGTCATATTGCCTACTTTTATTTTGTCACATTTTACGTCACATATCACCATCCATGTCAGCAGCGACAATAAGCTGCTGAGAGCCTGCCGATTTTAAAATCCTGCATATATCAAGTCCACCCACTACAACATTACTTTTAAAAGTTCTGTAGCATGGCAGATCTAGTGGAGTTTAATGGTTATCTTCCTTCTTGCCCACAGATCCACGGTTCTGGACGCTGTGCGCGAGTGATATGCGCTGGTTGAGGAACCAGGTGGTGGCCCCACTGACTGAAGAGCTGGTGTTCCGAGCTTGCATGCTGCCCATGCTGGTGCCCTGTGCTGGACCCTCCACGGCCATCTTCACATGCCCACTCTTTTTTGGTGTGGGTGAGTGTGAGCTGTTATTTTCAGACTACAACTCTGTGAAGATGAGAGATTTAAGATGGCAGGCTTGGTTTGGTTTGGCTGTGCATTCAGGCTGGCCCAAACTGCAGTTTACAGGCTTCAAATACTCGTTCTTAAAATCAACCTTAAAAACAAAAAGTACCTTAAAGTACAATTTATATTTAAGTATGTTTGTCAATTTTAGTCACTAATTTGTTGAAATCACAGAATTCCAGATTTCGATAACAAATAGTTTAATACTTTTATACCTCTCTTTTTACGATGGATGTACCAAAGATGCTGAAAGACAAATGCTGTAATGTAGGGATGGGCGATATGGCAAAAATATTACATCATGATACTTCAAGACATTTTCACGACACACAATATGCAGCGTTTTTGGAAGTTGGAACAGACAAAATAGGATAGTGCCACATACTTATAAATACCACTAAAATACAACAATAAATCCTCAGTTGTTTTTTGTACAACCTACAGAACTACAGTTATTTGTATTTAGTGTTTTGACAAACCACGCTGCACTAAATCCAAATGAACAGGACTGATTGTTATCTTTGTAATTAAACATGCAATTGGTGTTCTTTAAGTACTAAAGATATCCATGATATGCTCAGAAAAGAGTATTGTGACATAATTTATCACAAAAAAAATTAAAATATTGTCATATCGCCCATTGCCACTGTAACGTTATGTCAGATAACCAGACATGTGTGTCTGACTGGATTTTTGCTTACCAAGATAGCAGCAATGATATGGATGGAAGACATAAAATATTTGTTTTAATAGTCAGTTTAGCTGGTTAAACATTGTTCAATGCACAATCAAGTTCATGTTCCATTGCTAACATAGTGGTTCAAGTTTAGTCCCATCGCAAGCAAAATAACTTTGATAGGCAAACTTAAATCATAACTCTGCTTCTTCACCTGAATGTCATTCTGCGGTCAAAACTAGACCCTAGTAAGTTACTATGTATTTGGCTATTTTTCTTTGTTTAAATGTTGTTTGCCATGTTAATATCTCTTACTAACTAATCTTGCTTCAGCCTTTGAAAGAAAAGGGGTGACTTGAGAAATCATAGGGGAATGTGGCTGTGTTCAGCCTTTAGCTAACGTTACCTGGGCATGATGTGTTTATTTATTTATTTTTTTTTTTATAGTCTAATATCATGTCCATTTTTAAGTAATTGCCAGTTTCTTCTGGTTTTATTATAAAATGTTTTCAAAATGTGAAAAAGTGTAGAATTCTGAGAACTCAGTTTTAACAAAAGACGAAGCTGAATATTAAAAAAGGAACCGGATTCCAACATAATGAACAAACCATTGAGTATTCAGGGCAGCCTTACTATGAATTGATATAATGTCTCAATGTTTAGGTTTATAGTAAATGTATATTTCCTTCTGTGCATGTGTTTGATTCCAGCACATTTTCACCATGTGATTGAGCTGCTGCGTTTCAGGCAGGGCACCATCTCAGGGATTTTTCTCTCTGCAGGTATGTTATGCTTCAGATAAAGAACTGTGACCTCCAGATAAGCTTCTAGTTCATAAAGTTCCAATTTTGCCTTATAATGCATTATGACTCTTTTGTTTTTCTTGCAGTATTTCAGTTCTCCTACACTGCAGTATTTGGAGCCTATACTGCCTTTATATTCCTCAGAACAGGTGCGTACAAAACTACTTCTAACAGTTCTTCTGATTAGGTATAGTGCAGGCTGTGATTGAATAAGTGCACAATTTTTGCTGCAGTTGTACTTATTTTGCTCTGTACTCCAGCACATCGGATTTAAAATGAAACAAAGACTCTTTTGTGCAATAACTAATGATGCAGCAAGACACAGCTGGACAGCCAGTTACTTATGGTGCCTTTAAGTATGTGTAAAAAGATTGTAATTCCTATATTATTCTACTACAGTAGATGTAAAAACATTTTTTCCAGTAGGAATGGAAAGCATGACAATATGTATCAGTATCATGATAAATTCCATCACTTTGCATTACAATACACTTTTCCAAGCTTATAGTGGATATCATTAGTATTTAAAGAACAATGAACAAATGCTTGTTTCATTACAAAGAGAGCTTAATTATTCCTGTTTAACTGGATTTAGTACAGTGAAATAAACTGTTATTATTTTTATAGGAATTTTCAAATGTGACACTAAATTTTTTGTCTGTTCCATCTCTATTAGGCCTCAGAAAAAATCTCGATACATTAAATGTCTAGAAGTATCATGTTTTATTTCTGCTATATTGCCCACTACTGCTCTCCAGTGACTTCTGTACTGTACGTTTGTGCTGGTCTATTTGTGGTATATTAATAATAATTTTGTAATTGTGCTGATTAAAATCTACTTTTTGTAACTTTTTCATAGGAACCATATTTTACATTTTCATTGATTTGCTCATCTTCCCTATCAGTGCATTGTAACCTTGTGATACTGCAAAGCAAAACTATAAGAGAATTTATATTCTTTTTATTTTGCCATATAATGTAGTTACATTGTTTGAACACAAGTTTGCAAACAATCAGCACAAATCAGCAACTCACATCACTGCTTCTGCTTCCCATCTCTAGTGTTGTTAGTAAGCTGCACAACAACATGATTCTAGACATAATTTTCTTCATTGTCAGTTTTCTTCATTCACACTTTGTTCACAATATTATGAGAATCGTGAATTGACTTGAATGTATTGTTACACCCCATTATTATTATTATTATTATGATTATTATGACTGGGTCTTCTGCTCTATCTTCTGCAGGTCACCTAGTTGGCCCTGTGCTGTGTCATTCTTTCTGTAATTACATGGGTTTCCCGGCTGTGAGTACGGCTCTGGAGCATCCGCACCGCCTCACCGTTCTGTCCTTCTACGTGCTGGGAGTGCTTCTGTTCCTCATCCTTCTCTTCCCCATGACTGACCCTCTCTTCTATGGTTGGCCCACACCTGTCTGCACCCTGACCTCCACACTGGGCTCTCTCTGCTCCTGATCCCCCCCACATCCTCTCCACCCTCTGCCCTGGCCTACACCCTTTCCTTCATTCTGCTCTTCTTCAGAACCCACGCTCTTTTCCTCCTGAGAGGCCACCGATGCCTCCAGGCTGTCTGCTCTGTAGTGGGCTTAACAGGGAGAACAGGGGCCCTGTGGAGAACAGGTATGAGAACTCAGTGTTTCTGTGGATTCGGTGGATGAAGTCCATGTACTCGAGATGTCTTCAAGTTGCAGCAGCCACAGCTCAGCCGCAGCGCAGCGCAGCGCAGCGCAGCGCAGCGCAGCAGACACCATCACAATTGCCACCAACAGCGAACACCGAGTACGTTGTCAAATGAAGTTGATGAGTCCGACTTTGAGTTTGATGAAGACGGGTATTTATACGTTGCTGCATGTTCACCATGTTTATATGACGATATTTGTATATTTAGAATTGGCCGCATTTGGGTAAAGAGTTTTATGGTTCCACTAGAAAGACTTATACACTGTATTTTGCATTTACCGCAGGAGATAGACAACTTCTTGCATTTTTTGTTTTTCTTTTTGGATTCTCTTAGCTCAAATTGACACATAAGCTGCTTTTGTCTGGTGCTTTTACTTGAAGAACTGGGTTCAGATCTGCCCTGAAGTTCACTGAAACCTTCAGCTTTTCTCACATTTCTTTGAACCTAAGAACTAATCCACAGGACGTTGGCCATTAACAGCTGCTTCAGTTTTAAATTATTAAAATACAACTCAATTTTTGTCATTAGGAACTTTATTTTTTTAAGGTATTTGTATATTTGAAGCATCATGTTGTTGGAATTTAAATATCTGAATTATGTGCAGAGTATCACCCTTAGAGCATCGCCTTACGGCTAGATTGTCCATATAGCAGACCTCATTTAATATAAAGAACTTGGCGTAAACTAACTGTACTCATACTATGGGTCAAAGCTAACTTTTCTGTCAGGCATTTACAGAATATACCAACTTTTATGGATTGTAACATACCATGCGCATATAGAATTTGTTGACCAGTAATGAATACTTTATGCACAACCTTAGGAATTGCTTTTACATATAAGTACCAAGGCATGTTCTTACTACAATAACCAAAAGTAGGTTTACACTAGGATTTGATCTCAGGCCATTGCTTTGACAAGAAGAAAATTTCAATGCTTTAACTTGTGTAATGACATACAGCACACTGCGTCACATGACTGATGTGCACTTTGGTGCCTGAAATATTTATCAGTGCTGACATTTGCATATGACTTGCATATGGTGCCCCCCAAAACAGATTGCTAACAATCCATCTTTTTCATCGTGGTGCGACTATTAAGCCTTGTTTTAATTTTGAAGGTGGTAGAAGCTTGTGAGCCCTTTGTTATGAAGTGCTGGAGAAAACTGACCACTACCCTGCATGCTGCTACACTGCTGAAATGTGGATTTTGGAGCAGTACGGAAATGTACACTATCAGTTAATGCTGGCATGAAATTGCTCTGATGCAGAAACTTAAATCTGCTATTTTGTTTTGTGTAACATGTTGCGTACATCTTGTAGGTCAGCGTAGATAGAGGCGAAGCACATTTGTTCGGATAATATGGGTATCTTTTGCAATGCTATTATTTTCATCTGGAGTGTAAACTGTAAAGTCTGTACTTTTCAAGAAGAACCACAATAGGATGTTTTTTTAAAGTTGACATTTTGGATAGTACTTTCACTTCTATTCTTACAGGATATCGTTCCTTCTTTAATCTACCCATGCTTAGCTCATGATGTTACATTGGCTTGTTTTCAGTTTTTCACAAAGTCGACTGGTTCAAATAGGTGCTATAAGTGTTCAGCTAGTAAAATGCTGTGAAGTGTGTAGTTATTGCTGTTGCATGTATGAAAGACCATTTAATCAAAGTGAATTTCTAGCAATAAGAACAGGTGGGACCAAATCAGGGATTTCCATGTTGTTCCAGCTTAACGTTTGACCCTTCCTATTTGCAAAATAGTTATAAAACCAGGACAATGAGTGACAGTTAGCCACACATGAACCACTAAAGCAGTGGTACGAGTGGCCGTTGCCAGCACTTGTCATGTCTGAAATAAGTCGGCCTGTTGTTAGCTATCGCAGGACTGTTGTAAATGTGCCATAGTGTATTAGATTAACTAGCTAAACTGTGCTTGATGAGTTAAAGCTTGACCTTGGCGTCTTAAAGGACGGACCTGTTTACATGTGGAGGAAGTTATCTACCAATGCTGCTTTGGATTCAGTTCGTCTGCTGCATATTTACTCACTTATCACTCTTACTGCCTCGGCTCAGAGGCTGCTGCTTTGTGCTGGTGTGCTTCTTACGCATTTTCAGTCACCAGAGGGAGCCAGAGCACTGTGTTATGTAGAGCTGTTTTTTTTTTCTTCTTTTTCTTTGTTTTTCAACTGTTCAAAGCCCGTAATTATTAATAGCAGACAGTGAGACAGCCTGTCTATGATTTCCTAACAAACAAAGGCAGGTTGCATTTAAAGCATTTTTTTCTGCCTGTGTTGGTGCAGTCCCAGAACTACCTTGCCTGACTGGTGGTTTAACCCCTTAAACTTTAGGTTTGCTGTTCACTTGTTCAGTGCATGACTCATATTAGTATTGGCAGATAATTGCCAGCATTGGACAGATGTTTAGATTAGACCAGTATTTTAAACTAATATTTGATGATCTTGTATTCTTGAAGGACAGGATGTTTAGGTGATGCTGGGCCATTGTGCTAAAATGCGTATATTTTATCTGTTTCACTGCATTTGTCCTCTACAGCTAAATGTTATATTTGTCCGTAATGCTAGTCCAGGTAGATTTCTACGCATTGGAAAAGTTTATGTATCCACATCAGCAAATATGTGCAAAAATATTGGATTTCAGCTTCAGCCCACAATTCCCATGCATCCCTAACAGTTATATCTTGTCTAATGAAAGCATCTTGAGCCCTGTTTGGACTGGAGTAGTTTTATCTGGGGATGTGCTGTCATTCAAGTAATTACTGAAGAGATTTGTCATTTTAATCCAGTACAAATCTCCAATGTCTGTAGTTTTTATTTATTTATTTTAATTATTAGTAAATAATAGTTTTGGGCTAAATTACCTCCTACAATTTGCCAAACCTGGAGCTTTCTCAGTGATAATAGTCCTCTTCTTATCAATGTCACATTAATGTTGTGGAACAACAAAACGTAAAAAAAAAAGTAATAGAAAACAGCACCTCCATTTTGTGACCTAACTGCTAAAATGGAGCTTGATTTGACTGAATACCTTAATCCTCAGATTCATGAAATTAGATGTAAAGTCTCCTCCCTCGACCAGTGTTGCATTTTGTTTAATTAATTAATTTATTTATTTTGGCGCCATATTTGCCATTTAGTAGCACAAAATTGTTAGCGTTCGGAACTGGTGCCTGTTGCTCAACGTTTTAACGTGAATGTCTGCATGATGCTTTTGCAGTTTGGGCTAATTTGGGGAAATTACACAATTGGCTGGTCAGCTCGAACACAGTTGACCTTACTGCACCTCCTCTGGCAAAACTAACCCATCTAGAATAGGGCTTTAGTCAGTATATTTAATAGAGCTCATTAAGAGACTATTGTAAGAGTACTGTGAGGTTAATCAACATATTTCTAGACATTTTTACTTATACAAATCATAAAAAAAAAAATGATCTTGCTCTGCTGGCAGATTTTTTACAGAATAACGTAAAATGTACATAAAAAGTCAAAATGTCTAGAAAAAGGATGAATATTCTTACAGCGCTCTAATATTTAAGATGCTTTCACAAGCCATGATGTTATTTTTCTGTAGTATAATCTTAAGCTTAAGGCTCATTCAGTAACTACTATGAATTGTTCAGTAACTACTAAGACAATACTATGGAAGTATTTTGTATTTCTGAAAGTGAGGAAGGTAAATATTGATCAGCTAATAGGTCCTCAGTGTTTAAGGGGTTACATCTGCCTGGAGTCATTTTTTTTTCTAAATTAAGGTCAGTTCTAAAATGTGGACTAAAACAATAACTCTTAACTTTTTATAGGGCTGGAAAACTTCTCAGAAATGGCTGTTGAATCAGTAATTGGAGCTTTGCTCTGTGCTGCTGGCAGACGTCCATTTTGCCTCTTTAGTTTTCAGCAAAGTAAGAAAGATGGCTGCTCTTTAGTGGAGAAGCAGGCTGTCGCCCCGTTGATTGATTACCTGTGGAACTGAAGCATGTTCCAGTAGCCTCCATGTGCTGAATATGCATCAGACAGACTGTCGCTGGCTCTCAGTGCACTCTCAAACCTGCAAAACCTTTTTGTTTGTTTGTTTCTCAAAAGGTTTGATTTAATAGTGTCTTGTTGAAACTGTAGTCAGTTGGATTGCTTAACCTGAACAGCTTTTTTTCCCCTCATCAAATGAGAATAACCTGTTCATCTGCACTGCTCCTTTGCTCTCTGAATGTGTTTTTCTTTACTCTGTTGTTTTTATAGAAATGATTTGCAAGCCAAACATTTGCATCTGCTGTGAGCTCAAGCAAAGATGCTTTGAGTGCACATCTAATGTATGAACAGGAGGAGCAATAGACATTAGAATCTATTTTTGCAAATTAAAAAAAGTAGCAATGTACTATTTCATTAAATAGAAAAAAAAGACCAGTGAGCATGTTTTGAATTGTGGAAAACAGCTATACAGACGTACTGTTTTATGATGAGACTGGTTGTAATTATCAATAGTTCAAATGTTTATACTGAGGACTTATATTTTATAATCAAATCTATTTTGGACTTACATGTATAGATGATGTACATGCAACAGGCTGTTTTTGACTAAGGCCACGTGCAGTGCAGTTTGCTGCGCCTCACAGAAGGACATATATTTTATGACAATCTTTTTGGGGTCTTTCAAATCACTCTGCAAAAACTTTGCAAATAAACAGAATTTTATAAAACAGTTATTCAGAGTCTTCATTCATGTGGTTTGTCTCAGAAGTTCACAATTGATTCATCAGTTCAGCCTTTAAAAGCTTCATAATTGTTTTTTATAAGTAAAGACTTTGAATGAAACAACGCAAAATAAATGGTTCGATGCACAAAGGTGTTGTTTTACACCAACACAGATCTCACTTCAAATCAACTTCTGCTCTGCTTTTTACAGTAAGAGTAACGTTGTAGTAGGGCTGTCACGATTTCTTGATCAAGCTCAATTGTTTGATTAGTTCCTCAGTTCATTATTCATTCATTGATTTATGAAACACAATATTTACCTTCTGCATGCGTCAGCAGTGATTGGTTGGCAGTTTGCATGATGATAGTCATTTGCAAAAGTTCAAATTACATGTTGTTGATTTTTCTAAATGGAGAATAAGTTAACAAATCCTCTACAGCAGGGGTTCTCAACCTTTTTCACCCCAAGGCCCACAGATTGAGAAACAGTGCTCTACAGGGAGCTAAATATGGCATTTTCTGCATATTTTAGTGCACAGTATCTGTTTATTTTCTGAGTTTAACATATGGGGAAAAATAAAGCAGAAAATATACAATGTGCCCTTTGCACTTTTTCCAATCTGATATTAAACATTAATTGTGCATTAAAATGTGCATAAGTGTGTTCTCTGTTGACGTGGTGTTAACTTTCAGTTAGAAAATCAAAACTTGTCACTGTTAACATATAACTAGTTTTGTTCAACTCAAATAAGTACTTTGCACGAAACAATGCGAAGCAAAATTTTTAGTTTAGATGAAGAAAAGCAACATTTTGCATTAGTTCAAACTTCGAAAAACACTTTGAATCGACTTCTTCCCTCTTCCACTTTTTACAGTGGGGTCTCTCTTATGGTAAAAAAGAGAGACCAGTCATTTATATGCATTTTTTAATAGACCATGCATGGTTTGTTATTGTTCAGTTAGGTCTATGTTTATTATTTGGCCTGATTACTCAACTAATCATTAAAGTAATCGTCAACAGCCATACACTTTGAAGCAAATGGAACTTCAGTTCAGTGACTGTTGTTAAATGTACTATCTCCATCAGACCACCAGATGGAGATGTTGCATTTCCATGACAAATTCTGCCAATTCTTGTACCTCTCGGTCAAGTCATGGTGATAATTAAGGGGGATTATAAATTAACATAGCCAATTAGTTGGGTTTTACATGACTGTTATGTGGAATGTTAAAAAAAAAGAATAACTTTCCAATTCATTTACCAGTGAATTCCCTCCAGATCAGTATGCAGATTCACCTGCTCGAGCCATCTGCATACAGTTCATAATAAGCAATGTCCTTTCCCACTGGCTATTGATGTGCACGTCTCCCTGGTGTGCAGGGTATTTCAATGCAAACCCTTATTTATTTCTCCTGTCAACAGCACTGCTTTTTCAAGTGGAAATGTGCATGTGTACGTGTACTTGTGTGCATCGGTGTGAGGTGAATCCAGGACGCTTGTAGACTCTGAAGCGCTGCAGCACTGAGTATTGATTACAAAAACACACCACACTGTCACAGCACTTCAGGCATGAGAAACATTTGGCGGAACGGGGCTTTTGGGTCATTCTATTTCGTCTGAAACTCGATAGTCCTTTAGTCTTATGCATCTATACTGACTATTTATAAGGACTGCTTCATTAACTTTGTTGAATTCTTCTTTTTCATTCCCTGTATAGATCCACTGTCACCTTCACAATTGATGGACTGCGTCACTCCCTTGATGCACCGTCTGAGGCATTGTGGTCCATTCTTTTCTTTGTCCACTGCTTGTCGTTTACTTTAAGAAGCCACCCTTGTTCACAGTTAGCATCATGAAAAACAGCATAAGGGAGCTTATTACTCATGCTATTATGAAGTGTGGACAAGAGTGGCTTCTCCAGTGCAATCAGTCATAGCCCTAGTGTTATTTAGATGAAGATAATGAGTGTGTGAATGTGTTGCCTTGATGATGAGTGAAGCTGTTGGCTTTCACATTTTATTGTGTGTGACTTAGTCCTACAGAGGCTTCAAAAAGCCAGCAGAAACTTGACTCAACCTGAGACATCAGCTGCTCCTAAACTCTATTGATTTGTTGGCTAAGGGCAGTCTTCACAGCTCATAAAGACTGATCCAGGGTGTGATGTTGGACTACAGTGACAGTGGGGGATGAATGGAATCTCTAAGGGTACTACGCTGTTCTCCTTTCATCTTTTCTGCTGTCATTGTATCCTGCCTTGAAGTTGTAGTGGTATGTTTTCTGCTCTTCTTTTTAGGGTCTTTTTCCCATGAACTAACTTACATGCTAGACAAACCACACCATATACTGTAGCTAAACAGTAGTAGCAGCTACCTTGAAGGCTGAATTTTGTAAAAGTTTCAATTTTAATGTTACTTAAAGACCTCTGCACTCAAAATTAGGGATGTGCATTATTTTATGTGGCTAATTTTGATATTTGAGGATGTGTAAGAGTTAATGAATGAATGTTTGGTTAACTGTGGGGAAGGAGTGCAAAAATTTCATCCAATACAAAATGTGATAGGTGATAACACTGGTGGTAGCAGTAACAGTTCAGTAGCACCAAAACTTGTTTTATCATTCAAAAATAGCTCAGGGAAATCTTTGTCAGTGCAGATTAAACTGATTTTTAAATTACGCTTTTTTAATTCTTAACTGGTGAAAGTTGTTACTACTGCGTAACAACAGCCTTCACATGTTCCCATTAAAAGCAGAGACTAACTCAGTACTTCTATAGTTAGATAATTGTTGTGGTGCTATGTATGAGCTTATGAATGCAGTGCTAGTCTTTAACCTATTACATATAGTCCTATTGTAGTCCAGTGTGCTAAAATAGGGGTCATCCCTATGCTCCCAGCACCCTTTATTTCTAAAAATCTGCCCCAAATTTTTCAGGTTGTGTGTATATTATGCTATGCTTAAGTTTTCACTGCAAAGTTTGTGTAGCAAGCTAATTATCTCACAGACCAACCAAGCTGAGTGCAAGTGAGTCACTCTAAAAAAAATCTGGTGTCCTCGGGACCCTAACTATGGTCTTTTATATGTCTCTTTAATATATCACATCGTGGTTTAAATTTATTTAAAGATGGGATTTACAGCCCTGTTAGCATACAGCTCTGGAAATATAGGAACACTCCCTTAAAATATGCTAAAGAGTAGGGGTGGAATCTCTTGGCACCTCACAATTTGATTCGATTACGATTCAGAGGGTCTGCGATGCGATTATAAAACGATTATCGCTGCATCTCGATGCATCTT